AAAGCGCACTTAGTGAAAAGAGCAAAAGCGATCCGCGCGCCGCACGTCACTGCGCACTATCCATGTCACTGCGCACTCTCCATGACCAGCTCCAAAGTCCGGCTCTGTGGCGGTCCCATCAGAGAGTCGCGGCGCGTAACTACAGTGCGTCTCCGTGTCCGCGTCAGTGCCGCATCAGCTCAAAGTGTCACATCCCTGAGGCGGCGCCCGCTGCTCTACATCCATAGAGTGCGTGAGGAGCTCCGCTGTGCGCTGCTCTACATCCACAGAGTACGTGAGGAGCTCCGTTGTGCGCTGCTCCGCTGTGCGCTGCTGCGGTCCACTCTCCACTGAGGACACTCACATCACTGTTTCTCTTTTCCGCTGCGGAGCCTCCCCCCATAGCCCCCGCGGTTCGCACGCACGCTCAGGGTAGGCTCTGATTGGACACAAGAGTCTTCAGTCAGCACAGAGCCCGCCCCGCTCAGACTCTCTCTCCTTCTTTCTCTCTCTCCTCTGTCAAACTCTGTCTGCGTGTGGGTGAAGGCCTATCGGTTATCGGTCCCTCTGAGGCCGGTCCTCTGACATGTAGAAGCCGTGGATAGTCCTGTAAGCCCCGGTCCCGTGTGTACATGGTGGAGGCTTTCATCTCCACCATAGCCTTCACCATAGCCTCCACCATAGCCTCCACCATAGCCTCCACCATAGCCTCCACAAGTGATGTTTGAGCACAGCGGAAGGATGTCTGGGCCACAGTGGCTCCAATCAGCAGCGGGAGAAGGCGCAAAGTGACACAAACTGCGCGAGGAGCCGCTGGTATCTGCAGAAGGGAGGTGTTGTGCTCAGCACACACTCACCTGTAGAATGAATCTATGGACAGCTGATTTGAAGCCGGCTGATGCTGTCCAATTACAATTAATTAATAATGAATGTGTGTGACTTTACCGTTTGCTCTTCCTTTTTGTGGATGGTGTGAGGTGCACAGATGAAAACACATCTCACAGCATTAGAATAATAATTATAATAAGCGCTTAATAACTCATGTGACATTTCTTACTTTTATGCTGGCCACTTGATCACTCTCCATTTGGTGTTACGGCTCTGTTTGAAGCGGGGATTGTGCATTTTTACACAATTCTTCCGTTGTCCTCGCTCACTGTAGCGCCGGGCTCAGAGGCGCGCGGGGCTGAGGTAAAGACCGACTGCTCCCCCTAGTGGTGCTCCATCCTGAGCGCACTGACGCACGAGCAGAACCGCGCCATGCATGCATGTTAACAGACACTACCTTTTTACTCCGACTTGATCGTATGTTTATTGAAGTAACAGTACTTTGACTTGATTCAAGTCGTGGTTACTCCTGCCACTGTGAGTAGGTCTACAAATGACAAATGCTTAAGTTGACAATATGAAATGATTAGAACATTTGTGTTTCTTGCACAAACCTACAGATTTATAGAAAAAAATATATTTACTGAGCCGTTTTAAAGGGCTCATATGACACTTTTTTTCTGATGTTCTATGTGCTAATGTAGTTTCCTCATCACAAACAGACCTGGAGTTGTGTTTTATTTCATTCACATGTTTAACACATAAACCTGCACATTTAGTTCTTTTCTCAAACTGAAAACACCCCACCTTGTGATGTCATGTGGTAATACAGGAAGTGCTTCACTGTGTTTTTAAACTCCACACACCTTCACCAGAATCATATGGATGATTTTAACCCTGGAATTTACAATTTTCTGAACAACAGGCAAAGGAGCTGTTGACTTGAAAATTACCATTACATGACATCACAAGGTGGAACAGAGCATTTGGGGCTTTGGAGATGCAGGCACTAATAATAAAGAATTACAGAGAAAACATGTGCGAATGAACAAAACACAACTCCATACGTTCTTGATGAGGTAACAACATTCTAACGGGGGGTGTCAATTTACAGCCAATAAAATAAATAGCAACAGTTTCGATCCATTTGTTTCCTTAAAATGAATATGACCAAATGCCTGAATTAATATGAAAATGAGGGTTAGGGTTTGTATCTCAGAATAAATTACTCCTTTTGGTAAACACAAGTTAACTGAAATGATAATATGGTAATTCTAATGCTAACTGTCATGTATTATTTCTGTAATAGTCCTAACTTCAACTAAAACAGCAATAACTTATGTTTGGAACATTCATGGAGAGCCAAAAGGTGGTCAGATTTAGAACTGAACTATTTTCAGTTGGTGGGACCATGGTATAAGTGGATTAATCAATGAGGAGCAGTGCGTCACACAGTTTTAACACACTCCAGTGCACATGGTGGTGTTCTAGACTCTACACCGGTGTGTTAAAGCTGAGTTGTGTAATCCTTACTAATTTATTTAGATGCATAAGGTATGTAAGATGTATGTAAAATTCTCTGTGGTCATACATGTATTGTCAGTGTTGGGGAGTAACAGATTACATGTACCGGAGTTACGTAATCAGAGTACAAATTATAAGTAACTGTATTCAGTTACAGTTACTGTTTCAGTGAGTGGTAATTGGATTACAGTTTCTTTGTTGAAATAAATGGATTACACGGCGGTATTTACCTGTTTTCACCTGTTTTGTTTTTTTTCTCAGTAATTCCACTCATTGCCGGACACTAAACCAGGACTAAAGCAGGACTAAAGCAGGACTAAACCAGTTCTAAACCATGTCTAAATCAGGATTTAACAGGACTAAACCAGGACTAAAACCAGATCTAAACCAGGTCTATACCAGGACTAAAGCAGGACTAAAACCAGGTCTAAACCAGGTTTAAAGCAGGACTAAAGCAGGACTAAAACCAGGTCTAAATCAGGTCTAAACAAGGACTAAACCAGTTCTAAACCAGGTCTAAAACCAGGTCTAAAACAGGATTTAACAGGACTAAATCATGCTGTGCAGACCGTGTGTCCTCGTCTTCTATCAATAATATTTTTAATTTGGTTAAGTAAAGACTCGACCTTTTTATTTTCTTTAGATAAAACATCTTATGTGAAGATATCCTTGTCTTTGCTTCTCAGCAAATCAAGTAATCCAAAGTATTCAGATTACATTACTCACCTTAAGTAATTTAATGGATTAAGTTACAAACTACATTTTGGGGTGTGTAATCTGTAATCATATAGGGAATACATTTTAAAAGTCACCTTCCCAATACAGTGTATTGTATAAAAATATGAAATGTTGCTCTATTGTTTCTGTATAAAATCTCACCCGGACATTTTGAAAATGATCATTTTGATTCATTTTGGTCCACAGGTCAGGACAGGTCAGGTTTGGTGGAAGATACCCCAAGATTTGAGCTGGATTTTGGCTCCCCACCTCTGCCTTATACAATTTGCCAGGTTTGTGTTTATTAAAAAAGATGAAACTGGTTCTTAATGGACCTACCTGGATTATATTAACGTTACATTAAATAAAACAAAATAAAAGTATAACACAATGCATCTGCAGGCTGTTATAGTTGTTACCTAACAACGATATTATAAAGGCTTAAACCTGTCTAAATGACACAATAGTCATGACTAGACTAAAGAAAATAAATGACATCTCTTTGTTGTGTTAAATGAAGCTTTAAACTGTCAGAAAAATGGATGGAGTTGTCCGTGTTGATGACATAGGCAGAGGGATTCTGTTTTACAACTCAACGCTCATCTTTCTCTGATAAATATTTAGTCCGTCTACATCTCTAAAGGTCAGAATGCTCTGTTTCACCTTGTGATGTCATGAGGGGGTAGTTTTCAGTTCTTTTTACCTTTAGTTCAGATCACATAGCCAATTCTACTTGAATCATTTTCCAAATGATTCAAGTGAAGATAAATGGAGTTTACACTCAACACTACAGAGCACTTCCTGTTTTAAGGTGAAACAGAGGGTTTTCTGTTTGACAGAAGAACTCTGCCTAAATGTTAAACATGTTAAATGTGTGAATGAAACAAAACACAACTCCAGGTCTGTTTGTGATGAGGAGACAACAGTAGGACACAGATCAGAAAACAGTGTCATGTGGTGGCCTTTAGTGATCTCTGCACTATTTTTCAAGGTGCATTGTGGGACTGACATGTGCTGTTTTCAGTCATTTTGAGCTGCATTTGAGGCTTGAGTGCTTAGAAAATTTCTGTTTCACCAACTCCCAATCTCCACCCACATCCTAGTTATTATTTGAAATATCAAGACTCCAAGTCAAACACACACAGTTCAAGTCTAGCCATTTTGTTTTCACAGACAAACACCAAATGCTGATCTGCTGCTGTGGACGGTGAGGTCCATCTCACACACGACCTGTCAGTCACTCTCTCATTTCTGTTATCAAGCCATTTTATATCACTGCTGTAGTTTACAATGAACCAAATGTTAAAGCCATAGTATGTAACTTTTTGGCAAAAAATTTAATTACAAATAGACATAGAAAAACCTGTGTTCTTACTGTGAGGTGGCTTGCATCTCCACAAACCTAACCTGGAGGAGGGCTTTCTGCTTGATTCCACAGAATTGTGACTCTTTTGGCTATAATCTTAACAGTACGGCATAGAATGTATCTATCTGCAAAGACAATGTTCTATAGTATTTAACTGCCTATTTCCACAGAATCATGCAAGTGATGTGCTACCTCCAGAAAGTTACATGTTGTACCTTTAAATAATGATCTACTTTTGTTAAAATTCAAGAAACAAATGTTTAAAGAAGAGCCCAGATATTTTATTTCTATGGGCGATTGACTAACTGTTGATCACCATGTCACCTTTTATGTTTTGAAAATGCTGAATTCTGCAAAAACAACCCATTACATGTTTTTTTAAGTTTCACTTTTATTTTTGACGCTCTGAGTCCCCTTCCCGTTTGCTCCCACATTAGTCACTCCCCCTTCAGTACACACACATCACATCTCACTAATGAAACTACTGTGCATCACATCAGGTTTGGGCAAGTAAATTACATTAGAAATAAATCTAACATTTGAAGAAGTGTTTAATTTCATATTCTTGATTCAGGCCACTAGGGCC